TAAGTTCTTTGCTCAATTTCTTTTGAGATAATCATATTTTCCTTGTCAGCATCCTGACATATGAAGAACTCTCGGAGGCATTTTCATTAAGAATTTTATGGTTAGTATTATGTTAGATTATTAATAGCTTTCATTGTCCTGTCTTCCCTAGGTCTGGTGTCAGGAATATAAATGTGCCACACATTAGCTGTGCGTCTTTCTACCATTCACCATTCAGGACTATAGAAAGAACCACATGCACCATTTCCTTTCACATGTCATAACTCATTGTTTTGCGTGTGTGTGTGTGTTTTTTTGTTTTGTTTTGTTTTGTTTTTTTTGAGACAGGGTTTCTCTGTAGCTTTGGTGCCTGTCCCAGAACTAGCTCTGTAGACCAGGCTGGCCTTGAACTCCCAGAGATCCGCCTGCCTCTGCCTCCCGAGTGCTGGGATTAAAGGTGTGCACCAGCACCACCCAGCCGCGTGTGTTTGTTTTTTGAGCTAGGGTCTCATTATATAGGCCAAGCTGGAGTTGAACTCACACTAATTCTCCTGCCTCAGCCTATACTGAATACCTGGCTTCCAACTTCTTAAGCTGCATTCTTTTTTAATAAAAGAAAGTACTTTGATACCTATAAAAATCTCCTTTAAAAATATATGGAGTTATTTACCCCATACATAAAACAGCAAAATCTTTATTTCTGTGGGTATTTTTGTTGTTGTTTTATTTATGTGCATTGGTGTTTTGCCTGCATGATGATGTTAGGTCCCCTGGAACTGGAGTTACAGACATCTGTGAGCTGCCAGGTGGGTGCTGGGAATTGAACCCAGGTCCTCTGGAAGAACAGCCAGTGCTCTTAATTGCTGAGTCATCTCTCCAGCCCCTGTTTCTGTGTTTTATATATTCCTGTTTTGCACTTACTTTATGTATTAAATAGTTGTGAGTTTTAAAAAGACATTTTGTGTTTTTTTTTCCATGAACAATTGCCAACTTAACTTTAGCGCACTGTTCAGGAGCTAAGCACACTGCTGTTTTGCTGGACCCTAGTTACACAGTCCATTTCTGTGGCTCAAGTTCTCCCAATCTTAGCTTTGCTTAACAGATTGCCTTCTTAAAACACACAGGTTTTTATGTGAGGGAGGCAGATTCTCTCATGAATGTCCTCTTTCCTCTGAAACACGTCTTCTGCTCTGGGCTCGGTGATGCTCTCTAGTCCAGGCACTTATCAACATCAGCTGGGCATCTCAGTAAACGCTAACCTGGTGCCCACCCTCAGTCTCACCGCTCTGTCTGCCATTCAGACAGTAAACCATCCACCTCTTATTTTAAAGGTTTGATGGTCCACGTTGCTTTTGGAATTTAGGTCAAGTACTTGCTCGATGATATCGCAGTGTGTCGCAATCTCTCCCCAGCCTCTTTTCTGGTTCCTCCCTGAAAGTCTCCTGCCCACCTGTAATGTGACCCCACCTCCCGACGTCATGTTCCAGGTGCCCCAGCTGCCTACCATTCCTGAACACCACCACACCTTAACATTCATTACCGTGCGATCTCAATACCAAGTGCCATTTATTCCACATTCTACACAACCACTGGTTTGAATCTAGGTTGGTGCTCTACAGTTGGACTCCTAGTGTTTCTAAGACTTCCTTCCCTGTCAAACAGGGTCTGGAGGGAGTCCCATGATTGAACTAAACTTTATAAGAACTTGCACCTGACTGAAATGCTTTCCTAGGCATAGCACTTAGGATGGGAGTCCAAGCAGAGAGCCTCAGCATTCACTCTGAGCCAGTAAGAAAAAGGGGTCAGAAAAATAACATTCAAACTGCTTTGGGAGGAAACTTTTCAGCTTGTTTTGGTAAAATCCACACTATAGTCTCCCTTGGATTATATTGCACATGTTATACCGTAGTGTCGTTACTAGCTTGGTGTACTTCTATTTAAACAGTTACAGATATGCAAGGCTCGGTGTCTTCTTGTGTTTGAAGCTGTCATAAAGATCAGGATGCTATTGATTCTAGGTCTAGCTTCTGTGATGTGTCAGTCAAACTGGTACTTAACCTGTTCAAGCCTGAACAGGTCTGTGGATAAGGGTCACTCACAACTGCCTTGCAGACTGCATTGAGAAGCCAAGTTGGGCAACTCTGTGCACCATCTGCTGAAGATGCAATCCACAGAGCTAAAGCCTCTGCCCATTTGAACTTATTCTAGACGGAGATCTAGAAGACCAATGAGCAAACAGCCCATGGATGTCATACGGATGCCATGGGGCAGGATAGGAAGTGACAGGATGGAGGTAAAATGCTATTAAGTGGTGGCGAGCCAGGATGGCGCAGGCCTTTATTTCCAGTACTCGGGAAGCAGAGGCAGGCATCTCTTCAAGGCCAGCCTGGTCTACATAGACAGTTCTAGACCAGTAAAGAGTACACAGTGAGACGTTGTCTCAAAAAGGGGGTGGCTTGCCTCAGAGATCATAGCTAGAGAAAAATTTCTGGGAAGGAAATGGAGAATGAGGACTAAGGACAGACAAACCACAGGAGAGAGGGCATGGAGCAGGAGGAAGGAATGGGACAGCCACCTGAAGGCAGAAACCCCACGGAGGAGTTAAAGGAGGCCAGGCTGGCTGAAGCGGAGCAGGCAGAGTACAGTGTGGCTCACAGCCAATGGCTGATAACAACTGCTTGACTCCAATGGCCACTTGCTGTCCTGGTGGTTTATAACACAGCGGGGTGGGGCTGGGGCTTATATTACAAGTAGCTTCAAATGATTAAGTGCCAAGTATAATTGAGAAAGGTGAATAAGGTCATTGATTAGAACATTAATATAACATCAGGGCTTGAAATATAGATCAGAAACAGGGCAGGAACATTCAGAAGGCCCTGAGTTTGATTCCTAGCACCAAATCATCATCATCATCATCATCATCACCATCATCATCATCACCACCACCATCATTACCATCATCATCATCATCATCCAATTCAGGGCGCTGTGCCAGGAATTGAACCCAGAGACTTTCACATGCTAGGTGTGACCATTTCAATGAGAATGGCCCCCATATTTGAATGCTTGGTCCTCAGCTTGTAGAGCTGTTTGGGAAGGATTAGGAGGCTTGGCCTTGGTGGTGGAAGTGTGTCACTAGGAGCAGGCTTTGAGGTTTCAAACCACTCCCATGATCCAGGCAGTGCTATGGGACAATGCTCTTGTACATTGTAAAGATTTGTCAGTCATACTGGTTTCACAAAATGCTGCTTGGCCAGTAGCCAGGCAGGAAGTATAGGCGGGGAAACCAGACTAGGAGAATACTGGGAAGAGGAAAGGCAGAGATGCAGTTATTATCCAGAAGCAGAGGAAGCAAGATGAAAATGACTTACTGAGAAAAGGTACCAAGCTACACGGCTAAACATAGACAAGAATTATGGGCTAATTTAAGTTTTAAGAGCTAGTTAATAATAAGCCCGAGCTAATAGGCCAAACAGTTTATAATTAATATACGCCTCTGTGTGCTTCTTTGGGACTGAAAGGCTGCAGGACAGGGTGGGCAAAAACTTCCATCTATAAGGCAGTGGTGGTGCACTCCTTAAACCCAGAACTCTGCAGGCAGGCAGAGGTAGGTGGATCTCTGTGAGTTCAAGGTCAGCCTGGTCCAGGACAGCAAGGGATACACAGTGAAACCCTTTCTTAATAAAATAAATTTTAAAAAAGATTCTCAGTCTCTCTATCTGCCTCATAGATATGGCTGTGTCTCATGATATGAGCTCCCAGCTGCTGCTTCAGCATCATGCCTGTCTAGCTGCTGCCATGCTCCCAGACATGACAGTCATGGACTCAACCCTGTGAAACCCAAGCCCCAAATTAAATGCTTTCTTTCACAAGTTGCCTTGGTCATGGTGTTTTTATCACAGCAATAGGGCAGTAATTAAGACCCCAGGTGTACAATCTACCATTGAGCTACACTTCTAATGTCTGAGAAATATGTATCTATATTTTACAGAGAATCTCTCTGCATTGCCAAGGCTGGTCTCAGATTCATCATCTTTTCTCTCAGCTTCCTGAGTGCTAGGATTATAGGTATGCACACCACACCTGGATCAAGAAATACTTTAAAGTGTTAGCCTTTCCTGAGAGCTTACTATGTGCTTTATATATCACTTAAACATTTCATTTCCCAATTTCAAATAACCTATTTGGTAAATACTATTATTGCTTCCTTTACACAGAAAAGCCAGCAAGAATTTAATAAACTTAGTAAAGCTGAGGCGGGGGATAAGTTAAAGACAGGGTTTAAATCAGCCAGGCTGACTCACAAATCCGTGCCTCTAGCCATGGCATTATCCTGCCCCTTCCAGGCACAGAGCCACTGTGAGTCAGTTATTTGATGAGTCTTAAAGATGCATTTGCATCCGTAACAGTTATTGTGTTAGATAGAAGCAGGAAGCATGTCGGCAACTCACAGTGTGCGGTCTTTATCAGAGATTCATGGAACTTCAATTCTTTATTCCTAAGACATGAGAAAAGCTCTTCTCCAAGAAAAATAGACTGTAATTAATTAGCATCTTAGTAATCACTTTCAGTTTGTAGAGCTTCTCTGCCATTCAGTCTGCATCCATGATTTTTGACTTGCATGTTATGTCTGGGTATGTGTAACTTGCAAGCAGATACTGATATTCTCTCTCTCTCTCTCTCTCTCTCTCTCTCTCTCTCTCTCTCTCTCTCTCTCTCTCTCTCTGTCTCTCTCTCTTTCTCTCTCCCCAGAGGACAGCAACTGTTTATTCTAAGTAGAGATGATAAAGACAGATTTTATGATATAAGTAACTCTGGTTAGAGAAAGTAAGCAGGAAAAATAATAGCCTGAGGGTTGTTAAAAGTTTGTTTTTAATTAGTCATTTCTCAGACTTTATTCACGCAGAAAAGATAGTTAAGGATCTTTGCTTTAATGAAGACTCTCTGAGGCGTGTATCCAAAGCCTACCCAAGACCACGCCACCATGTTCCCCCAGGCAGCCTGCGGTCTGCCTCACTTACATTCCCGTCGTGGTTTGGGCACGAGAGAGGCTTTCCTGCAGCCACCGCGGTGACCGTCTCCAGGATGGAAGAATCCTCACCATTGCTGCCTGGCGTTCGCTGCAGCACATCCATGAGGTTTGTGATAAAGAAATTGTTCTGGAGTGCAGCCACCCCCTTCTCAGGCAGGATGGAGGTCTGGCGACACACTGGGCAGGAGAGGGTTAAGCTGTGGGCTGGAATGTAGTTCTGCAGGCACCTGTTCAGAGCACACATGGGGGCCGTCAGTACAGAGTGCTGCTTCTGCATGCAGGTACTATCTGTGGTTTCACCAACCGTGCTCACCGTGGGCCACTACACAGAAACCCACTCTTTGTGGTGTCCTGGACCAGGGAAATCATACTTCAGAGACCAAGCGCTAACCTGCCCTCATCGGCTCTATACACTGACCAGACAAATGACTGTGCTCAAGGAAAAGAAGAAAACGTCTTCTTAGTTTCTTTTTCTAGACTTCTGTAGTGTCTAGAGACCTGACACCCACAGTGTGATTGGTTCAAGGCCAACAGCCTTGACCTTCTCAGGAACTGGATAGCCCTACCAGGTCAGATGCCCATGTGGCTCACTCACACAGCAGAGGCTGGGAAGCCTTGTTCTGTAAGCATCGGGCTCACAGATGTGTGAACTTTTGCACTGGGGGGGGGGGGAGTCAGGTGTGTTTGTCAACACTGCAATTCATTTGACACATAAAACCATAATCATAAAAGAAAGGCATCTGACTAGAATATTTGACTGACGCAAGGAACACCCAGACTCGGTCACAGCATCTCTTGCTCAAGAAGCACCAATTCCATCCAGTTAGTTAAGAAAGAAATTTACTAACAACAATGACTACCCATATTTGTATCAAACTACATTTGAAATATTCCCCTGAACCTATGGAGGAGGCACCATTATGACCGCTTTGGGCAGCCAGGAAACAGGTGTGTAGAGAGGAACTAAGTACCCTACCTAGCGTTCTTGAGGAGGTCACGGTTGGAGTGGGAGTCCAAACCCAGGCAGTTTGACGTCACACGCTAAGCTTTAAACAACTAGAGCTGGAGCTGGGCTTGTAGCTCCAAGGTTAAATGCTTGCTCAGCATGCATAAGTCTCATTCACACACTGCAGAATGAACCCAAAACAATACTGCATCTTAGCCAGAGTTTGGGAATGACCAATGTGGCCTCTTAGTTTGCGGATGAAGAGAGTAACACCGAGAAGGGTTAGCTGATGAGCATCTCAGAGGTAACCTGGGCTGATGAGCATCTCAGAGGTAACCTGGGCTAAGTCTCTGTCAGGAATGAAGCAGATCTGAAGTTAAAAATGGTGCTTAAGGCCAAGAGGCATCATCAATCGTATTTACCAACCAACATTCATCAAGCTTGACTTTGCCCACTCCCTTTTTTGGCTGGATCTGTTCCTCCTGTCTGTTCTGTGTTTTCTGAGTTACCAAAGCTTGGTGTTACTCATGGCTCCATCCTTAAAGCTCTTCTTCCCCTGGGATCCTATACCCTTATGAGTATAGCAGACATATTTCTTCCTACGGATATCCTCTCTGAGTCCTGTGTCTTCTAAATAACTGTTATCAAGAGGTTGTGACCTACCAGCAAACTAGGCGGGAAAAACTAGGATATAGGCTGGGAGAAAGGAGGTGGAGTCAAAAAGCAGCCATGTAACCCTGCCAGAGACAGACACCAAAACTTTGCTGGTAGGCCACGACCTCTTGATGATGCACAGATTAATGGAGATGGGTTAAATTAAGATGTAAGAGTTAGCAAATAAGAAGCTAAAGCTAATGGGCCAAGCAGTTATTTAAATAATACAGTTTCTGTGTGATTATTTCGGGGCTAAAACTTATGTTTTCACAAACTCAAAGAATCCTTGTAAGTTCCAGGGAATCGACTTGAATTCACTTTGAATAATAGATCAGATGCACTCCAGATAAGAACTCTCAATCAGTAGCCAAAGCCTTTCCACCTTTCCCTGGTCCTGACACCCTCCCCTTCAATCAGCAGGACCTAAGGAAGGTTAACCTTGTCCTCTGCTCTGCCAACATCTTGCCAGGTCCAAGAGGTACCAGATGGTTCCGCAGAGCCTGGACAGCAGCGAAACAACCGGGTACCCTAGGACGTGGCTAACATCCCAGCTTCTCAAGTCCCTGAAAGAGCAGCAAGAAGCAGTCTTGAGAATCTGACTCCCCTAATCCTGTCCCACCTGCTAGCCCTATTTAATTTCCCCACCTTTTTATAATAAGAAAAGTATGGGAATGTTAAGATTCAGGCATTATGTTAGCTAGCCCGTCATCTGGCAGGAAACACTCAGGCAGTTCCCTGGCCAGTCCAGGGTCCTATGCATACATAGTCTGTGTGCAGGTGCAAACTTTGGTCCCTTTAAGAGACAAGCTCCGCCCATTCCCGCTCTCCTTCCTGCTGCTCCTCTGCAGGAGCAAGCAGTACTTTTCCTGTCTCTTTCTCCTTCTCTCTCCCTTTCCTTTCCCCACTCCCTTCCCTTCCCCCAATAAAACTACATTTAAGTTCTATCTGCCTGGCCGTGTCTGTCCCTCACCTGCCATAGGCTTCCCACCAGGGTCCCACTTGTGCCGTTTTACAACAATGCCTATATTTGAATAAAATGAAAAGCACGATACAAACCATCACTAAAACAAAACAGTTCTCTACATAATTCCAAAGGAAAGGAGAAAGCCCACAGCTTCTAACCAGAAGCAAATACACCTCCCCTCTACCCATCTCTGCTATCAAGGATGTGGCTATTCTGCTGCAGCAGGACCCTCCAAAGTAAATTAACTCATTTTTTTAATGCCTAGTTAAATGATAAATGTATTTTTAATTGGCTGGGAAATAAAATCAGCATATATTTGAAATCATTGGAAACACTTATTTCATGATCTAGAAGTAGGAAGCATGCAATTTTAATTACATCTATTAAGTAATAAAAATGTACTTAACGACATGTGTTCAAGCATAACTAGAGTATCTATCTGTTTTTAAGGATAATATTTATAAAGCCTTGCTAAGGATACATTTAAATTGAACCACAAGTAAATAACATGCTAACAACTCCTTTTTCTGCTTTTGTTTTTGTTGTTTCTGTTTTGGTTTTTATTTGTTTGTTTTTGAGACAGGCTAGTAGCTCTGGTTGTCCTGGAATTCACTATGTAGACCTTGAACTCAGAGATCTACCTACCTCTGCCTCTGCTGGGATTAAAGGAGTGTGCCACCTCTCCAATCCTGATTTTGTTGTTGTTTGTTTTTAAGACAAGATCTCAGTGTATAGCCCAGACTATCTTCAAACTCACAATTCTATTACTTCAGCCTCCTAAGTACTATAACAGGCTTGTGGTACCAAGCGGGTCACATAACAAACTTCTTATCCCTATGTTTTTTGTTTTTGCTTTTGTTTTTATGTAGCAAATAAAGCCACGGAGAATAAAAGCACATTCAAAGGACTGGAGAAGTGTTTCTGTGCCTGAGAGAGCTATCTGCTCTTCCATAGGGTCAGAGTGTGGTTCCCAGCATCCACATTTAGTCAACGACTCACAACCGCCTATAACACCAGCTCCAGGATAGCAGATGCCCTTTTCTGACCTCTGCCCACAGATACACACACACACACACACACACACACACACACAAAATAAAATCCTAGCCTTTAATCCCAGCACTTTGGGAAGCAGAAGCAGGCAGGTCTCTGTGACCTCAAGGTCAACCTGGTCTATATAGTGAAAGCCTGCCTCAAAAATATAAACAAACAAACAAATAAATAAGTAAGTAAATATCTTTCAAATGAAATAGCAATTGAAAACACTCTTACAAGAAAGAAAAAGAAGAACTGTGCTTTCTTTAGCTCTGCCTCTTTTGGAAGTGAGCCAGTTCTTTCTTGGATGCTTTCTCAGACTTGTAATTGTTTGAGATGAAGTCACTGGTGATTCCTGATTCCTGACTGGGTTTCTAGATGCCTGTTAGGAGCACGAGTCAGAGCACAAGTCTCTCACGGGTAGCAGCAGAATCCCAAGAAAGAGCCCGTGGGGGTGGCGGGCGAGCGTGGGAGCATGAGAGAAGCTTACCTCTCGCAGAAAGTGTGCAGACACGGCAGGACCTTGGGGTTCTTGTACCGTTCCAGGCATATACTGCAGATCAGAAACTGTTTGTCGATCTGGCGCACCACGGGACTTGGGATGCTGGCGCCCTCACTGGCCATCCTAGACCACTGACATGGGAGGCCGGCTGTCGTCGACCCTGCACGCTGCTGCAGCCCGGTGAGGAAAGACAGAAGAAAAACACGTGATCACCCTCTATGCACACCAATCCTGAGCTCTTCTAGTCTAAACACAGAAGACATGTCAGTGACCTCAAAGAAAATAACAAGAGCCAGCTCTCATTACTACGGAAGTAATAGCAGGCTTGTTTGTGCTATAAATAACAGTAAAATATGACATCTTCCTTCCCCCATACAGACAACAGATCAGGAGAGGGTGTGTCCCACCAAGAAGCTGTTGGCTGAGTTTAAAAGTGAGTGGTGGCCGAGGGACAAATAGTTACACAGCTAAGCGCATGCCTTTACCCGTGACTGAATATACAATTTGCCTTTTATATTCATGTGACATTCAGTATGGTTTTTTTTTTTCATCGCTATACTTTGAGGGGACTGGAAGATGTCACTGCCCAACACGGCGCCCTGGTGTAAGTTGTTTTAACTGAAAGCTGTTGAGATATGCAGTCATTGGGGAAAACTAATCTCCTCTTATGTATCCAGAGCCTTTAAATGCTCTGATCAAAGGCTTTTACAGGGGGAGAGTTATACAGGCTGTACTGGTGCGAATTGTTTTTAACACTTGTTTTGATTGTGCGTCTGTGTGTGGGCATGCCACGGCACATGTGAAGGTCAGGGAACAAACTTGTGTGAACTGGTTCTCTTTCCGCCATGTGGATCCCGTGGTTGGACCCAGGTCCTCAGCACTGGCAGGAAGTGCCTTTACCCCTGAGTCGTCTCTCCAGTTCTGTATGGCTTTGTTGGTTTGATTGTTCTTAACTCTACATATTCAGAAGTTTTTATAGGAAAGAGGTGAAAACCCCAGGAAGTGACCGGACTTGGGCATTTTAACAACAGCAAACACTTTTTGTCTACAAGGGACATGAATTTCCCTTCCGTAAAGGACATTTCTCCCTCAGAACTGAAGTATGGGGAGGCTCTCAGGGACTGTGGCTGCGTGGAGATGGGGCTCCACAGCAAATCGTGCCTGACCAAGCTCGCAGACCCAGGCTTCCCTCTCATTTCCCAGAGCCCAGCCCCCTTTTCCCTTTCTCAGTCCCTCACAATGACCAGGAGTTATTGAACTATCCAGTAACAGAGCAGACTAAAGCAGAGACAGGCCCTGTAATCTTAAAGAAATAGCCCTTGCCTCTGGGCTTCGAAGGGAAAGAGAAGTGAACGCAGAGGAAGCTTCCAGTGTGCACTTGAGGGACTGTGCGTGTGACAAAGACCGCGGAGAGGAAAGCAGAGTCCCCTGGGCAGGAGGTTATAACAGTCCCAGCTCAGGCCAGCACCTCAAAGTTTCTGGCTCCTATCTCAAAAAATTAGCAAGGGTTGAACTGAAACTCAGTAGAGTGCCACGGGCCTCTTGTTGTCAAGGGAAATACTCTACCAAAGACAGAAGGAAGGGAGGGAGGGAGGACAGACAAAAGCTAATTAATCTCCAACATAATAGAAATGAAAAACTTATTCTATGTATTAGACAGACAGACAGACAGACAGACAGACACACACACACACATCCTACAGGGTGAATAGCAAATGTATCTCTGAAACTTAACGCCTTCCCTCCTGAGCTGCCCACCGCTCTGACCTTGTGCTTTGACGAGGCTTTGCTTTTGAGACTTAGCTTACATCTGACACGAGACCTCGGTCTGTGACCTGTGTCTGAAGCTGGGACCCACGGCGTATTTACAACATCAAAGCCCTGGGCTTTCTGTGGGAGCCGCTCTCTTCCAACCCCAAGCGCTGGCTCTTATGCCGCACCAAACAACCAATGTTGTCAGATGCACTTCGGCTTCTGCTTTAGAACTATGTATTTTTATTCCGTGTATATGAATGTTCCGCCTGCACGCATGTGTGTACACTCCAAGCACGCCTGCTGTCGGAAGAAGCCAGAAGAGGGTGTCACATCCCCTGCAACTGGAGCTACAGATGGTTGTGAGCAATCATGTGGATGCTGAGAACCAAATCCCACTCGTCTGGAAGAAAGTCAAAGTTTACATAATCCAGTCCCAAATAGTAGTTCACCTTTTGTTAAGAAAGCTCTGGCTCTTCCCAGTCTAAGTGGTCAACCCTAAAAACATATACATACAGGCAATACTAATGAGCTCAGCATGTTGTAACTATATATTATTCATTTTATATGAATATGACAATAATTTTCTATTTATTTTAATTTTATACTTACTAAAGATGGGCAAACAAAATAAATACCACACACCAACATTAACCAGACCCAAAGTCTACACATCTCAATAAACCTCGACATAGTTAGAAGAGGCATTCTGATGCTGTGGGGTTTCATACTGGGATTTACACTTGCACTATCTAGTATATTTTTGTGTAGTTATGACAATAACAATTAGAGAAAAAGAGGCTATGCATTTGAATGGAAGGTCATAGAAAGGGGGAGGAGGAGGAGGAGTGGAGGAAATGGCATAAGTACATTTTATTTAAAAATAAAATTAAGAGATAAAACCCCATCAAGATCCATTCTAAATCCCACCACTCGGGAGGCAGAGGCAGGTGGATCTCTGTGAGTTCGAGACCAGCCTGGTCTACAGAGCTAGTTCCAGGACAGGCTCCAAAGCCACAGAGAAACCCTGTCTCGAAAAAAAACAAACAAACAAACAAAAAAACAAAACAAAAAAACCAAAAAAACGATCCATTCTAACGGAGTAACACACATGACAGGTTTATAATGGAATATGATTAGCGAATGGTGTTTGTGAAGCATCAATCAGGCAGGGGCATCACCTCCGGCCAGAGCTCCCTGCATGGTGAGGCAGCGTAGGTGGGAATATCTGATAGGCTGGCACCGGCGGCCAGACTTTCCGTAGAGTGCTCCCTGAAGAGCTAGAGAAAGATCTTCACTGATGGGCTGAAGGGCGGTTCATCTCTAGGGAGCTGGACCACATCCCTATGACATCAGACTAGTGAAGGAAAGCTCTGTCTGCCTCAGGGACAAGGAAACCAAAGCTGAGGTCTAAATGACCTACGCAAGGTCATTGAGGAAAATCAGTGGGGCGGGAAGCTCAGGTTTCAGGGTTTCTGCCTCCTCTGATGGGCGTGTGGTAGCTAATCTTAAACAAGGGTAATGTTCGTGTGTGTCGCAATAATGGCAGCGAGCTCTCTTCCGTGTCAGTAAAACTTGGCCTGACTATGAGAAATCGGCCCAGTTCTTGAAAAAAAAAAAAAAAAACTCACTAAGGGTTCGATTATTATTATTATTTTAGTGACAGTGCTGGCTGGAGATGTGGCTCAGTGAGAGAACACACACTCAGCATTCGATCTAAGGTTTGGTTCCCCTACTCCCACACATTCTGTCATTAGATAGGGGCTCAGCAGCCACAAACTCTTGCTGGTCTTGCAGAGACCTGGGTTCAGATTCCAGAACCCACAGGATGGCTTACAACAGTAATTTCACTTCCAGGGGATCTGACCCCTCCTCTGGCTTCCAGGGCACACACTTGGTACACAGATAGATATGCAGGCAGAACACTCATGCACATAAAAGCAAAATAGATAAATTTTTTTGAAAAGCCAGTTAACATTTATTTTAAATAGCTTTAACAGTTCAAAGTCGCATCTATGTATCCATTTGTGTTGGGGGTGCACGGGCTACGGTGCAGCGGCAAGCACACAGAGGGGCAGAGGATAACTTTTGTGAGCGGCTTCTCTCCTGCCACTGAGTGGGTCTCAGGGACCCGCTAAGGCTTGGCAGCAGAGCATGTACCCGCTGAGCCATCTCACTTGCTCTTGAACATGTCTGATGTTTTTCACAGGACCATGCTGGCTCACAACAGAAAAAAAAAAAAAAAAAAAGAAGAAGGGATGGCGGGGAGAGAACACAGATATTTAAGCGACTATAAACAAAAAATCCTTGTTTTAACCAAATGATATATATTAACGGAATAAAATTTGTTAAGCCAATATTCTTATGCTCTAAAATGTAAGAGAAAGCATTTGGTTCTAATTCTATGGTAGTTATTTTGGTGAGTGATCATGTCTGTGTTAGTATGTTCATTCACATGGTGCATTAATTATGCCTACTCTTTAACACTGATTGAAAGTCATGGCAGGGATGCAGATCTGTCACAAGTGACCTGTTGAAGACAGCTTGCTCTTCAAAACTCCCATGGTCGGCACAAAAGCTTTCCGAGCCCCAAGGACCCCCGAGCTTTGCCAGGATAAGAACGCTTCCGGGAATCCTTCTGGATGTGCACTACCAGAAAGCGTTTCACTGCTCCTAAAGGGACAATGTGCCTGAAAGAACTCAAGCACAGCATGAGCCAGAGAGCATGGTGGGACATTTCTGGGCCTGCGAGGAGGCAGCAGTCTTTAATCAAGGGCTTGGGCACTGCCAACGGTGAATACCTAACTACAGCAAAATGCTGTCCTTTCTGGACATATTCCTCAACCCATGCAGGCTGATGGCATTTTTCCCGCTGGGCTTCCTGCATGAGGGAAGCATGCTGCTCCTGGGATGTCCTTCACTATCTGGGCTTCCAAATGGTGGGCAACCCTTTCTACCCATAGATGTGACTGAAATCAGTGCAGGGGAGTGAAGATGAGAGACAGAACCGCTCTTCCGCTGGAGGCAGCTGGGTTAAGTGGAAGAAACCATCGTGGAGCCAGGGAAAGCTGATGGCACGCCCATTGGCAAAAGGCCAATGGAGGTGAAGGCAGAAGAGCCTTTCTTCTTGAAACTGGGTCTTGCTATGCAACGCAGGTTCTCAAAATCCTCCTCCCTCGATGTTCCAAGTGCTGGGGTTAGAGGATACTACTACACCTGGTCAAAAGTCATTTTTGTATGACACAGTCCACACTAGACAGAGGTTGATATTTATCACCTAGAAGAGCTTTTCTATGAAAACCAAACAAGTGTTCCTGAGGCCCTCTCACCCCACCCCTGTTCCCCCTTCCCCTGACCCCACTCCCTACTGCTTTGTTGGGGGGTCTCCTATTCAATCTGCTCACGAGGTTTAAAACCC